CCTTTGATCTGTTTCTTGATCCTGTTTGTCCATCGTTTAGCTGATTGGTTCATAAATTGGGTCAATGTCAAGGTGTTTGTTGATTGCTGACTGACTTGAGTTCCAAGCTTCCAAAAATTATGTGATGTTCTTTGTACTCCCTCTATCCAATATCTAAAGATTGTTTCAATCGAATGTATGTCCATGGTTGTCCGTATGTATCTATGCATGTAAGGGAAGAAATGTCATGGCGTTAGATTGCTAATTGATGTTCACGCGGACGAAGCTGAAGAGAACGTTCATTCTGTCCTGTGTAGTGTTTTTCACAGTCTGAGCAGTTTATTTTGAAGACATAGTCTCTGTATCACGGCTTCCGCGATTACTCCTGATATTAGTGATTCCATTAGTGTTCCTTATGTTTTTTCGTAGATTTTGTTGTTTAATTGGAAAAACATTGTCAAGCATAAATTGATGAGTTCTAGAACACTTCGACTCTGAAGTTTCGTATGCTCTGAGAGATTTATGTCGTTGGTGAGGGGCAGGGATATGATTTATTTAGCTAAGCTTCTTTTGACTGACGTGAATAAGGTTGTTACGTCGAAAGATATCGTCGTTTCATCGTTGTCGATTTGAATCCATTTGAGTTTATCCTAGAATCGTGTGGGAGACTTAATGGAGTAGTTAGATGAATCTACCAAATGGTTCAATATTCTTTACATTTCTTTTGATAAGTTGTATTTCGGGGTTCCAAGGAGGGATACAGTTAGACGTAGTGGAATGCTGGGTTTACGTATTTTCAGTCTACCAGAGAATCATGCGATAACTGATCTATTGAATTTCATTCTGCATTGATTTTGTTTTGATATTTGCACTACTTTGACAAGCTTGTTTAGAGTCTTTGATATATTTCTTATGATAACTGTTACTACATTATTCCAACTCTACTACTAACCTTATTTTGATCTTTACATACTGGCTACTTGAATCACTGTATATCCCAGTCAAACTCAACATTGATTATGACAGAATGACTGACTGTTTCGTATTGTAATTTTCTTTGACATGTAACTTCGGTTTTATTGTCTGGTGTAAAGCAAAGTACATGTAACAGCCAATATAATATTACTGATAACCATGAGCATTATATGATCAAGTTATTAGTTTTTTTTTAGAAGCAGTGGCAAATGAAAATAAGCTCTAAATTTAATATATACAACAAATATGAAAGGAACAATAAAAGAGAAAAACTTACTGGAAACCTTGAACTATTTAACAACCAATCAGAAAATAGTATTTACCTACAAAATAATTTATACTAAATAGTAATTAAAATTAAAACGAATGCAATTTTTAATATTATTAATGAATCTTTACATTATTAAATTACTAATTATAATCAAATGAGAAAAATCTAGGATTACTAATAAACGGTTCATATAGCTTTAGGATTAAAAGTTTGAATTAATACTTTGAGATTCAGTTGGAAAAATACTTTTTTTCAACTATAGTAATGAAAAATTTCAAAAATTATTGAACTGTTGATAAATCACATTAAAATGTCGTACACCATTGACCTGAAACGAACTTACAAACACTTTTCTCTGTGACCTGAATTCTATCGAGTATGAATGAATGAGCTAAGGGAGAAGATATTTCTTTTAGTTAATTTGGCTTAACGCTCAATTTTAGACATTTTGATGTTCGGGAGCTCCGAAATATTTCTCAGAAAAATCTATAGAGGCCCAGAAATGCCAGGGAAAGTTTCACTCAATCAGCATTGAGTAAAACCATCAAAGAAATATCTGTAAAATGCGGAATCACGTATCACGATTCTGATTGGTTATTTGACTATACCGATAATAGATTTCGTATGGTTCTCGAACTTCTGCAGTAGCCCACTATAAGTAACTCTATAAATACCTTCATTTTTCTGTACAGAACTAACTTTGGAGTAAACCATTCATCCCTTACTTAGCACCGTTTCTTTTGTGTTCAAGTCTGAGCATCGATTTAATCTGTTGTTATTGGAAACATTTAGGAATTCAGATTTTGAGTTCATTTAGCAGACGTGTCATTTAAGCACTAGATATTGATAAATTTTAGTCACCTATTAATGAAATACTACTAGGTGTCACTCATTGCTTCTGGAATTTTAGTTTGGAAATCTAGGAGCCATACCGTAAATCTGCTCAACTTGTCGGTTAAGTAGTATTTTATCAAAATAAAATTGAAATGATTTTATGTATAAACAATCAGTCAAAAATACAACTTTTCTCAACTGCTATATCTAGTCTCGGAGTTTAATTTTTTGTAAACAATTAATTTATGTCTTTGGTTGCATCAGAAAACAGATTGCAACGAATTCATGTTGAATGCAAATAATACAAATTGTTCAAACTCTCAATTTTACATCACAGACCAACTTAAATTGGATAGTTGTTTACAACTAGAAGGTATTGGATAGCTGTTTCGTACCATGAAACTTTTTGACACTGAATATTGATGTGTGCACTAGAAATCGAATTCAGAGCCTCATAGCTCCAAGAAAAGCTCAACTAATCTTTAAATCACATGGTCTATAACAAATGGTTTATATTTCGCGTAATATTAAGAATGTAAACAGTGGATGCGAACCTAATCATTTAAATATTAGACACTTGCCATTATTAAGTCTGATAATCTTCGGTTCGATTATTGGTAAGTGCATTTATGTGTCTCGTGCTAGAACTATACCGTTATTCAGTGTCTGCTGGCTTCACTATTTCACAAAAGTCAGCTTGAGATGTCAAACCTGAAATTCAGTCTCGATAACCCAATTTAAGTGTTGTATCTTAAAATCAGTCTTAGTTTTAGGGACAGATTTACTTTTCAGTTAACGCTTAATCTTAATTATTATCACTTCATGCTTGTGATTCTTTGTTATAATTTAGTTTCATTCTTTTTCGTGTCCAAATGATGATTTATACGCTTCAACTTCAACTAATATGTAACCAATTTTAGCCCGGTTTAATCATTTCTGTTTAAGGATATGGAGAGTATTCAGAGCCATCATATAAACAGGATAGTCCATAACCGAGTTCACAAATCTAAACTTGCTAGACGAGTTGTAGTGAAGGAGAACACAGGTGAGGGCAACCGAACTGTGTTTATCGCAAATTACAGAGTTACTCAGTAAAATAGGAAAGCCATATCGTAAACGGTTAATTTACAAATTATCAATCCATCAGCAATCCATTGTCTTACATTTCACTATTCATGCGTTTCATACAAATTCCATTGTATTCCCACTCTTCCTTGCTTCTTGATCTTCCCCCATCTTCTGCTGCCAGACATTACATTTTCACTCGCGTCATATACTACTTATAAGTAGCGCGCACCACAGAGTTACGAAAAATGTTATATGAGATTTATCGTTTGAATTGGTTTTTACTCAGAAGCTGGATAGTGTGAGTGCATATGAAGCGGATGGTCGAAGGTTCGTCGACTCTAGGATGCTGGTTCATCCATTCAACAAGTCCCAATTAAGACAAGATACGCGTCCTTGGTTCCATGGGTAGCCATATTCAAGTTATTCTAATATCAACTTCTATAGTTTATTATTTCCTTTTATTGTCTTTCTTCTTTTATTTATCTACTGAGGATTTCATAGTATCGGTTAGAAAAATTATCTGCATACATATGTAACTGCATTAGGTATTCAATCTTGTCTCTTACATATACATATAATTTGAACAGTTTCGAATTTTTCCCACTTTACAAGGTTTAGCAATGAGCCTATCCAAAGCTGATTTAATACCTCGTGTTTATAACTCCGAAGAGGATAATCAATACAGTAGTTCACTACCTCCTACATCATTGACAACTATGCAATCAACAAATATTACTTGGTATACAATTGGTCCGAGATGTTTAACAAAAGAATATTTTATGTTAAATTTTCAATTTGAAGAAGCTTTTAAATTGGGATCATTAATTCCAACTGAACAAAGTTTAAATTTAAGTGGACATATTGGTGGATTTCATTTTACATGTGAATTATTAGGTATTTTAATTTATTCTAACCAATTCAATGAATTGATGCAAGTTAAATTTACTTCAACTGTACAAACTTTTTATATCAAGTAAGTTTTTTATTGAGAAAAAGTCTTAGTTATGATAAACTTTGATTATATTAGTTAAATATATTTCATTAATAAATTAGATAAGGTAAGAGAGTTTATGCTACAGTATACTTTGAGTATTTAGATTAATATATCAGTAATAGCAGTTTATTGCCTAAAACTTAATACCATATCTTAAATGCATGAAAACATTTTGGAATAGGAAAACATTAGAAATTGTCAACTTTTAAGGTATACATTGATTTATCGAAACTATGATGACTTCTTTAGTGCAATTTTCCACTACAGGAGTTATCCACTTACCATGGGCTGCAAATTAAGTTTAAACCTCATCGAAACCCTTAAGCATACTTACCAGCTGTTTCATTAACTAGTCAGTCAATTAGTCAAACGTGATGTCGAACCTAGTATTTATGTATATCGGTCCAGATAATCACACCCTATTAGCTAAGTTAAATGAAATTTTTTAGAGCAAATCCCAGAGTGGTTAAGATAATAACAGGAATTTAGAAATCTGGGATTTAAAGCATGAAAAAGATCGGATGCATCTGAGCCACGTCATTTAACCATTGGTTACGGTAATCACAGTAGTTTGCATACGTTCACATGGCTTAATTGTCAATGACTTCATAGATTGATCCCATATTTTGGTTCGGCCGTCAATAGCTTTCTTTCACTCTACTCTTACATCAGACAACATCTCTCAAAGAGGTAGATAGTGGTTTGATGTGTTACATATGTCTGGACCACTTTATTTGATGAAGATTTACCTCTACGTCAGTGTGTTTTATCTCGTTTTATAGTAACTCATCACTAACCCAAGCATTGCTCACTCAGCAGTCCTAAAACACATAGATGAGGCTCTGAAGACATTTACGATAGAATACTTATTAGCTAGAAATATACTCTGTTCTTATTACCTGCGTTTCATATGTATAAGCACTTTGCTTAGATATCGGATGGTTGACAAAAACATACATGAAGCCATACATATAATTTCTATGTCCTGTCAACAAGACTTACTTGGAACCGTATGAAAATGACTATTGCTCATGTTTTCACCTTGTTTCAAATTCTCTGTTTGCAGATGGAATCACTACTAATCTAAGTAGAGTAATCTAGCCTATACAACATTGAATAATTCAAACCCACAGGTACCAATACACCACGGAGGTTTGTCATTATTTCCGTTCTTCCTGAATATATTTCGTGGCTCTTCTGAACAAGTCTTCTCAAGCAGTTAAAAATATTCGAGTAATAATACAATTGTTTCGCTTTCGTTTATTGCGTATTTTTACGATTATTAGTGAGACAATTTACATTACTCGATGTGCTGTCTAACTGTATATCTCTATCCCCTCCATAGATTTTTTGGTCTGAATACTACTTTTTATATAAAGTAGTATAGATAGTATATAACCGTATTTTTTTTATTTTTAGATCAACTGTTGATATTCTACGTGTTTATTTTGCTCATATTACTCCATTGATGATTAAATTTTGTTTTGGAAATCATGTATTAGCACAAGCAACTGTTCCAATAGAGCAATTAATACCTTTCAATGATCACGTACTACAAAATACTGCTGTATTAAATGGAAGTTTTGATGTAAGATTTGACAATTAACTTTTTGTGACCCATAAAACAGCATTACTTTTGTTAATAATCAGTGTAATCGAATTTCGAAGTTTGTACTTACTGATTTTGCATCACGGAGTTGTGGAGATTGTTTTTTATTATTGAAATCATTATTTGACCACCATTAGAAACATGGATTCATCGGACGACTATTTCATCCTAGTATGGGACTCATTAGCAGTGCTCATCTATGACTCCCACTCCTCGCGGGAATCGAACTCAAGACCTTCAGTTTTACTCACGAGTGCTTGACCTCTGGACCGATGAGCAAGTATCCAGCTGTGTTAATGTCTAACTCTGATCAATTTTAGGTTTTGCGCAACCTCATCCATTGTCTTTGGTAGTTACTGCCTACACCCGACAGAGTTGAAATAAACTGATTACGTGCTTAATAGTGACCAGTTTCGTGAAGAAATTCTCGGAGTTCTAGTAATAGCATCCGTGATAGTAAAGAAGAATACAGGCTTATTGGTTCAAGGGTTAAGCATTCGCAAGCAAGACTTTAGGTCCTGAGTTCGGTTCCTGAGAGGGGCGGGAGTCGTGGGTGCGCACTGCTAACGAGTTTCATAACAAGACAAAACGACCATTCAGTGCTTCTACGTTTTTAATGGTGGTCTAACAATGATTCATTCATGACTTGTTTAGAATTGTATATTTATTTCGAATTCCCCCTCTAAATATAGTCGAATTATACATTTGTTTTTAAAACCAATGAAAAGAGTTGGTTTAAATTGTGTAAATATTATTTAAGGATGATTTGTTTCTGAAATAATTAGAATTGTTATTTCACATTGTGTTTCATAATGGTACATGATGTCCTTGGTCAATCCCTACAAAATTCACTGTATATCAAGCTAACAGTTTAATACCAAATATACCAGACCACTTCACATCATAGAATGAGACAATACATTTATAAATTGATAACTATATAAACGAAACGTTATCAAAAACCTGTAATATATCAGTGAAATTTTGTTGACTCGATAGACAGAGTTGTTGAACTGTTTGAAGAACTTGTTTGCAGACAGATGAAGATCATAAGCAAGACTGCCAAGATATCATACAAATAAGTTAATGTAAAGGATGCTCTTTGAGTAGAAGTTAGTACATTTAAAAAAGTTGACCCAGAAAATTTCATTAGTGTCATCAAACTCACTGTATTCTTCGTAAAGCCTTTTTTATGTCAATACACAGTCAGTCAGATGCAACGTAGAACTTTGTACATAAGTACATCAGTTCATGTTGCCATACCACAGAGATGTAATTGTCAATTCAAATCCAATAGTAGAAGAGGTAGTAAAGGTATTAGAAGTAATCCGAGAGGTTAGGATTAGAAGATATTATTCAAGAAGTATGATTCAGTGAGAAAAGTTTAGAAAGTCAAAACTAGAGGTGTTGAAGAATCCAGAAGATTAGGATTTGAGAGAACACAAAGAATAAATGCACCGGCGCCATTGCGAACGATTTTGAGCCATGTCATTCAAGGTCTCTAACCATCGATTATTATCATCTCGCGGACCCCAACCAGGTAGTCGACAATTACCGACATGGCTCAGTCCACTAGTCAATGACTTCATGGATTTTTGCCATGTTTTGGTTTGGCCACCCCTAACTTTCTTCCAACCTATTCCTACACTACAAAACAAGGCTCGTCGAGGCAGTCGGTGGTTAGGCATACGCAAGACATGTCCCAACCACCTCAACTGATGAAGTTTCACCACTTCATCGATTGCTCTCCCATCCTTACCTAGTACTCGTTTCCTAACGACAGCATTGCCCACTCGGTTGTCCCACGGTATTCGAGCAATGCTTCGAAGACACCTATGATCGAAAACCAGTAACCTACGAATATCTTCTACTCTCATTGGCCATGTTTCACAGCCATAAAGTAAGACGGAGCGAACTGCTGCGCAGTACACTCTTCCTTTAATTAGAGAACGGATATCACGCCTACGCCATAAGTGACGCAGTTTGGCAAAAGCCAATCGAGCTTTCTGTATCCGTGCCGAGATTTCGTCAGTCACCAGGCCATCGGCACTGATGAGACTCCCAAGATAAGTGATA